AATGAACAACATGATTAAGGATTTTGAAGAGAGAGATCGAAGGATTACAGAGCTCGAAGAAGAAAGAAAGCGAAAGAAGGATGAGATGTGGTCCGAAAGACAAGGATGGAATTGAATCCTTGATAGAAAGCAGACAGAGATTGGATCATTGATGCAACGATTCTCTACAAAAAGTCGGCAAGTAGATGAGCTCATAGGAGAAATGGGAGAATTGCAAATACAATTTGAGGAAGAGATAAATCAATCTCGAGCTATGAATGATGAGCTCAAAAGTCATGTTTCGAACCTTGAGCAATCTCTGCTTCAAGTGCAAATCTCTTCCGCTTCAATAGATTTAAGAGTTGCTCTTGAAGAAAATAAGGCCTTCCAAAAAGAAATAAGAGAATTGAATGGAGAACTCCAGCAATGTCGAATTCGTATTACCAATCTAGAAAAAGAAATCAAATGAATTAATAAGGGATGGACAAATACATATGAGCATTACCGATCTGTGGTAGAAGAACGTGATCATATGATGGGTGAAGCTATAGCTCAAATGGGAGAAGTTGCTCGATACATGAGTGAATTGGCCAATAGAGCTGAAATCATCCAACTGCGAACAAATCCGAGTTCTGAGTATTCAAGGGATATCATTGCTATTATGAACGAAATTGTAGAAATGAGTCTGAGGGCTAGGCCTTATCTGTAAACGTACTTCTTTGTAATGAGTGGAACCTTTTATCCAATGAAAGTTATTTCCAAATGGTTACTGCTTGGGTCAACGCCTTTTATTTGCATTTTTGCACTTGCATCATTCATTATGCATAATAAAATGCATTATTTAATAGAATGCATCATTTAATAGCACATCACCAATAATATGCATCCAAATTTAGAATAATAAATAAATTAATTTTTAAGGGTTATGTGACAGAGAGATTCTGGCAAGTGAAAACATTAACCCTCATCATACACGAAGTAAGACCATGGATGGTAAGATTGAGCAGTTAAAGAAAGAGATGCAAGAAGGGTTACAAAAGATACAACAAGAATGGCACTCGAGAATGGAGTAGTCACAAAAATCAATTCTAGATCAGATATTGCAAAGCCAAGCCAGTATGATGAATGAAATGATGACCAAGATGTCTGGGTTACAAACTGAAGCAGCTAAAGAGCCAAGTACTATTTTGACTTCTGGCCATGAGTCTACCCCGAGATTAATTATTTCCCCTGAAAAGTTAGTTGAGTATCCTGTGGGGTCTTCAACAACAAAGGTTCAAATGATGGGCACAACTAATCCTCAAAATAGACCTCATGTATATATGGATGTAGATCCTGAGGAAATGGAGAAATTTAAAACCGAGGTACCAGAACATTTAAAGGATTGGTGCAAAGGGCTTCTTAAAGAGATGGGAAAGCAGAATTCTCAAGATGGAATGGAGGCAGAAGAACTGAGTCTAGTGCCAGACTTGATCTTACCACCAAAGTTCAAAATGCCTGAATTTGAAAAGTATGATGGAAAAACGTGTCCGATCACTCATTTGACCATGTTTTGTCGAAGAATGACGGGATTAGGGAAGGATGATGGACTATTAATTCATTACTTTCAGGCCAGTCTGACAGGGGCAACTGCTAGATGGTATAATCAGTTGACTCAAGCTAAAATAGGGTCTTGGAAGGATTTGGCGAACACATTTAAAGAACAATATCAGCATGTTACTAACATGATGCTTGATCGTGTTACTCTTCAGAACATGGAGATGAAGCACAATGAGACATTTCGTCAATATGCTCAGCGTTGGAGGGATATTGCCGCTCAAGTGCACCCACCACTTATTGAGAGAGAGTTTATAACGATGTTCATTGATACATTAAAATCTCCCTATATTGATCATATGTTAGGAGTGGCGACTAAGAGTTTCTCTGATATTGTGATGTACGGTGAAATGATCGAAAGAGCACTAAAGAAGGGACAGATTGCTGGTAGCCAAAATCTTACAAAAAAACCTTTCATGAAAAAGAAAGAATGAGAGGTGAATAATGTAAATTTCTCTGTGAGTAAGACAAAGACAGGAAATTTTTCATCTCCAAGAGAAACTAAGCATGAATATAACAATGAAAGAATGACGTTCACTCCTATACCAATGACATACAGTGAGCTTTTCCATAGATTAGTCCAAGCTCATGTAGTGTCACCAAAATATCTAGATCCAATCAAACCACCGTATCCAAAATGGTTCAACGAAAATGAGACATGCGAATATCATGCAAACCTCCAAGGACATAATATTGAAAAATGTCTCACTTTCAAAAGAGTGGTTGAGGATCTGATTAGGAGAAAAGTAGTGTCATTCAATGATTCAGAGACACCTTGTGTAACTGCAAACCCACTTCCGAATCATAAAAAACTAGGGAGTGAATGCCATTGAATAGAATCGAAGAATTAAAAGGAAGCTTGAAGATGTGATAATGCCATTGAAGTGGGTATATGTTCAAATGAAGAAGAGAGGGCTATTGAGTTCCATAAAGAAATGTTCAATTGAAAGGATGGAGAACTTTTGTGAGTACCATGATGAAAATGGTCATCAAATTCAGGATTGTCAAGAATTCAGGTAGATAATCCAAGAATTGATGGACAAGCAGGAGTTACAGTTCTATGAAGAAAGGATGATAGAGAGTGAAAGATATATCTGTGCTTCTGAAGAAAATTCAGGAGAAATTGAAAAGAAATTAAAGAAGCCTGTCCTGGTCATATCCAAGCCAAGTTATAAGGCAAGCGCTGGAAGTACAACATCGAAGGTGGTGATTAAAACCCCAATGCCTTTTGCCTACAAGAGTGGCAAGAGCATTCCCTAGAATTATACATGACAAATTAATACTCCAGAAAGCAAGGAGTAAGATATTGATGAAGTTGGATTTTTCACCAGGAGTGGAAGATGCTATGCTCCTGGAAAAGCCAATAAAACAAGAGCTGTGGTTATTGATGATGAGGAAAAAATAAATGAACCTGTCAAGATTGAGGAGGCTCAGGAGTTTTTAAAATTTTTGAAACACAGCGAGTATAACATTGTGGAACAACTTCATAAGACCCCAGCACAAATTTCAATGTTGTCTCTCCTATTGCATTCTGAGGTACATTGAAATACTCTGATCAAAGTGCTAAATGAAACTTTTGTGGGGAAAGGCATCCCAGTGGAGCGTGTGGAGAGGATGGTCAACCATATTAATGCAGATAACTTCATTTATTTCTATGATGATGAAATACCTGAGGAAGGAAAGGGTAGATGCAAGGCACTACACATTACTACCCATTGCAAAGGGGTTATAATTTCTGGGGTGTTAATTGACAACGGGTCGACTTTGAATGTTATGCCATTTTCCACTCTGAATAGACTTCATATAGATGCTTCTCAAATGAGGGTCTGTGGTAATACTGTGAGGGCATTTGATGGGATATAACGTAAAATAATGGGGAAAATAATTATTCCTCTCAAAGTTGGCCCTACGACTTTTGAATAGAGTTTGTTGTCATGGATATACATCCAAGTTACAATTGCTTATTAGGGAGACCTTGGATTCACATGGTTGGGGCAATTCCTTATTCTCTTCACCAAAAGCTTCGATTTATCGTGGACGGGACTCTAGTAACTATCAAGGCAGAAGAATATATCATTGCCTCTATTACTACTGATGCACCATATGTAGGGGTAGATGAGAACACACTAGAGTCTTCGTTCCAGTCTTTGGAATTTGTCAATGCACCTTTGTCCCTGAAGACAAAAGAATTCCCATTCCTCAGCTTTCAAAGAATACAAAGATGCACCAGTTAAAAAAAAACAATAGCTAGAGGAGCAAAAGTAGGGAAAGGGCTAGGTAAGAAACTGCAAGGCATCATTGAAGGTTTGAATCCAATTCTTAAAAGAAATTAATTTGGCCTCGGATACAAGCCAACTTACTATGATAAAGTCAGAGATGCACAAAAGCTTAAGGAAAGAAAAAAGGCGAGAGCCCAAGGTGAGGACGTTGTTTGGGGTCCCATGATCATACCACCACTCTTCAAATCTTTCGTGTATGTAGGATTTGTGACTGACATACTGCAGCAATCAGGGGGAAAGTGAAGAAATAGGAATTGGAAACCTGAGCATCAATGCAATCACGGATGATTCTACTGAAGAATGCTCATTGGCATCAATTCGTCCATGTCCTCTTGATTATGTTGAAAGCAACTATACTGTTGAAGAACTCCCTGTGTTCTATAAGAACTTTTCAGAGTAATGCATAAATAACAAATCTGTCTTTTAACCCAAATATAATGGGATTATTGTTATTTGTCATGGTTTTAATAAAGTGATTTTTTCTGTTCATTTTCTTCATAGTAAATATTGCATTCAATTATTTAAATTTTTTGTTCTTTATTGATAATTATTATTTTGAAAAATATTAAACGAAATTTTTGTCCATAGCCAAATATTTTTTTTCATTCGCAGGTCCTCAGATATTAACTGTTCGAATAATGATATTCCCGAACCACAAATTGATTTTGAAAATAACATGTGTATTGAAGAATCTGAAGGTTATAAGGATGATGAGGAATGTGAGTTAAACTCTGAACTTGTTAGAATGATGGAGCAAGAAGACAAACAAATATTGCCTCATAAAGAGAAAATTGAAATAATAAATTTGGGAACAGAGGAAGACCGAAAGGAAGTCAAGATTGACACTTCGCTATCACAAGAAACAAGAGAAGATCTTATACGCCTTCTAAGAGAATGCAAAGATGTGTTTGCCTGGTCTTATCAGGACATACCCGGATTGGATACTGACATTGTTGTACACAAGCTACCGATAAAAACAGAATGCAAGCCTTTTCAACAAAAACTTCGAAGAATGAGGCCAGATATGCTATTAAAGATAAAGGAAGAAGTAAAAAATAGTTTGACACTGGTTTCTTACAAGTGGCTAAATACCCTGAATGGGTAGCAAATATTGTGCCAGTGCCAAAGAAAGATGGCAAGGTTCGAATGTGTGTTGACTACCGGGATCTCAACCGAGTAAGCCCCAAGGATAATTTTCCACTGCCACATATTGACACATTGGTTGACAATACAGCTGGTCATGCTCTTTTTTCCTTCATGGATGGTTTTTCAGGGTACAATCAAATCAAAATGGACCCTGAAGACATGGAGAAGACAACGTTCGTGACAATGTGGGGCACCTTTTGTTACAAGGTGATGCCCTTTGGACTTAAAAATGCCTGGGCAACATATCAAAGAGCCATGGTTACTTTGTTCCATGATATGATGCACAAAGAGATAGAAGTATATGTGGATGATATGATTGCCAAATCACAAACTGAGGAAGAACATGTGAAGGCCTTAAGGAAGTTGTTCTTGAGGTTGAGAAAATACCAGCTCAAACTTAACCCAGCCAAGTGCACTTTTGGAGCTACTTCAGGGAAATTATTGGGATTTGTAGTCAGTGAGAATGGGATAAAGATAGATCCTAATAAAGTTAAAGCAATATTGGAACTACTAGCCCCTAGAACGCAAAAAGAAGTACGAGGGTTTCTAGGGAGATTAAATTATATTGCTAGATTCATCTCTCAGTTAACTAAGAAATGTGATCCAATTTTCCGTTTACTGAAAAAACAAAACCCAGGAGAGTGGGATGACAGTTGCCAAGAATGTTTTGACAAAATTAAGAGTTATTTGACTAATGCCCCAGTCTTAATGCCACCAATCCCAAACAAACCATTGATTTTGTACTTGACTGTATTTGAGAAGTCAATGGGATGTGTACTGGCACAGCATGATGAAACTGGAAGAAGAGAAAGAGCTATTTACTAATGCCCCAGTCTTGATGGAGTCAACGGCTTTAACTGGAAGGATGACAAGATGGCAAATGTTGTTGTCTGAATTTGATATAGTCTATATGAATAAAAAAGCGGTGAAAAGAAGTGTTATTGCTGATTTCCTAGCATGCAGAGCATTAGAAGACTATAAGCCAATGAAGTTTGATTTCCCAAATGAGGACTTAATGAGTATATTCGTTGCGGAATAAGATGCTCCGAAAGATGAAACCTGGAAAATGAATTTCGATGGTGCCTCGAATGATGTGGGACATGGAATTGGGGCAATACTAGTTTCACCAGAAGGCAATCATTATCCTTTTACTAGTAGGCTTGCCTTTGAATGCACAAATAACATGGCAGAATATGAAGCATGTATCCTGGGTATTCAAGCTGCAATTGAAGCAAAATTAAAAGCCTGGAAGTATTTGGCGATTCTACTTTAGTTATTTATCAACTTCGCAGGGAGTGGATGACTAGAGACTCTAAATTGATGGAATACAAGAACCTGGTGATGGAGTTGATCAAAGAGTTTGAAGAAATTTCTTTCACTTATCTTCCCTGTGAAGAAAATCAAATGGCAGATGCTTTGGCTACGTTGGCAGCCATGTTTATGGCTGATGATTAGTCTCGAATGATGCCTATTCGAATAAGTATAAGAGAAATGCCAGCTCATTGCTGCAACATTGAGGAAGAAGAGGAAGTCGGTCTCCCATGGTATTATGATATTCTACAGTATGTGAAGTATCGAGCTTATCCAGCTGAGGCAACTGAAAATGATAAACGAACTTTGAGAAGATTAGCAATGGGGTATGTCCTCGATGGAGAAATTTTGTACAAAAAAAGTAAAGATCAAGTGCTTTTGAGATGTGTGGATAGAATTGAGGCCAAGAAAATAATTGAAGAAGTCCATGATGGAGTTTGTGGAACACATTCAAATGGATTCACAATGGCTAGACAAATCATGAGGTTTGGATATTATTGGTCTACTATGGAAGGAGATTACATCAGATTTGCTCAAAGGTGTCATAAATGCCAGATCCATGATAACCAAATACACGTTCCTCCTTCACTACTCCATGTAATAGCCGTTCCATGGCCATTTTCAATGTGGGACATTGATGTCATTGGGGTAATTTCACCAAAAGCTTCAAATGGACATCGTTTTATCTTAGTGGCCATTGACTACTTTACCAAGTGGGTTGAAGCTGCCTCATATGCTAATGTCACAAAAGGAGCAGTTTGTAGATTCTTAAAAGGAGAAATCTTTTGCAGATATGGAATACCAGAAAGGATCATCACATATAATGCGTTAAATCTGAATAATGATTTAATGAAGGAAGTCTGCACAAAGTTGAAAATCAAACATCACAACTCGGCTCCTTACCGCCCGAAAATGAATGGGGAAGTAGAAGCAGCGAATAAAAATATCAAGAAGATCATCACCAAAGCAACTGAAACATATACAGATTGTCATGAGAAGTTACCTTTTGCATTACTTGCTTATCGCACATCTGTTCGTACATCTACTAGGGCAACACCATTCTCTTTGGTATATGGGATGGAAGCAATTTTACCTGTTGAGGTGGAAATCCCTTCTATAAGGGTATTGATGGAATTAAAACTTGATGAGGCTGATTGGGTACAAAGTAGATTTGATCAATTAAATTTGATTGAGGAGAAAAGGCTGAAAGCTATTTATCATGGACAAATGTACCAAAAAAGAATGATGCGAGCTTATGACAAGAAGGTCAGGCCTCGAGAATTTCATGAAGGTGATTTAGTGCTAAAAAAGATCCTACCTATGTAAAAAGACTTTCGTGGGAAGTAGATGCCAAATTGGGAATGTCCTTTTGTTGTAAAGAAGGCATTTTTAGGAGGAACTTTGGTTTTGACTGAATTGGATGGAGAAGATTTGCCTAATCCTGTGAATTTTGATTCAGTCAAGCGATATTACACTTGAAGGAAAAAATAAAAAAAAATAAAGGACGGTTCAAGATAAAAACCTAAAATGGGTGTCTTGAAACCGAAGGAGGATTCGAGTTGAAAATCCATAATGGACAGCTCGAATATTCAAGATTTGGTATGACATATTCCCTCGAAAGTCTAACAGTTCAGGGAAAGATTCTCATACTCACACATCTTTTGTACGATCTGAATCTTCGAGACACATGTCAATTTTCAGGAAAGATTTTGATGAGAAAATATAGTGATTCAACATTTGATATCCACTGTATTTGTTCCTTTGTTCTTCCTGTAATGTTTACTTGATTCTTATATTAAAGGATTATACTTTCTCATTACCTCTTTTAAATGAAATTTTTGATTTTGATTCATTATTCATTACATAAAATAACCAAAAACAGTGATCAATAACAACATTGTTTATTATGCTTTACACTAAAAAGTGTTAGAGTATGGGGATTTCAAAACAGGTGTTTATCGGAGAGCACATAGAAAATATGATCATTGGGAAAGAAGGGATAAATTGAAAGAATCAGTTTTAACCTAATTTTAATTTTCCCAAGAAAAGAAGTCCGATTTTGAAGATGAACAACAGGTGAGGCCATTCATTCTGATTGAATTTCTCAGAAAATTAACTAGTGGCCAAAGAATCAACAAAGCAAGATAAACTTTCTCGGGGGTGGATCATAGAATCCAAGTTCATGAACGAGAGATTCAGAAAGTAATCACAATCATAACCCATACATTAGAAAATGCAGGAACTTCATGTGTTATGATCAAAGAGCATGAGAAAATCAATTGTCAGTATCAATTTATGCATAACCCTTTAAACATGCATAACAATTCACATATATCTTTAGGGCATATTGCAAACATGAAATCATGGCATATGACATTTTTACAGGATCTTCAAGACCTACCACATCATTGAATCAAAGAATCAATCATCATCAGTTATGACCCGATATCCTCATCACGAAGGAGCAGTACTACCCTGGATAACCAGTTGTCCTCATCATGTAGGAATCGTGTCATCCATAGACTAGATTTCCTCATCACGTAGGAGTTGTGTCACCCCAGATAATCAGCCGTCCTCATAACGTAGGAACCGTGTTATCACTTTAGATGGCCAGAACTTTTCATCACGTACGAGCCGTGTCATCACCAGACCTAATCTCCTCATCACGTACGAGCTGTGTCAACCTTTGATAACCATAACTCTTCATCATGTATGAGCCATGTTATCACCCTCCTAAAAATGGCCAAGAACTCTTCATCACGTAGGAGCAGTGTCATCCCCTGACTAGATTTCATCATTATGTAGGAGTTGAACTCTTCATCACGTATGAGCAGTGTCGTCTCCCAAATCAAACAAAAAAATCTCAAAAAAAAAAAAGAACCGAACAAAAACTGGTTGTCTTTTTCGTCTTTCTCGTCTTTGCCTTATTCTTGTTAACACAAAAATGTGCAAAGAGGGGCAGCTGTAGACACCCGTTTTTGTCCGGGATAAAAAATATTATAATTATTAATATTAATTAGTATTATTACACTGTTTTGCAGGCCCAAAACAAATAAAACCCAGCAGCCTGAATTTGCAATACACCAGTCCACGACCCGACTGACCCAAATATTTAGGGTTTCTAAACCCTAAATCAACTACTTTGCTTATTTCAATCATTGACGCTTCTATCAATAAAGACAACAGTGGTTTTGAAAAAAACACTAAAGATTGTTCAAAATAATTGATTCAAACACCAGAAGGCTCTATTACGAACGAGCTGTTAGAACTTTCATTATTGTTGAGATGTTGTTAAGTTCAAATCTTCTCGTCATTATTGGAGCTGGTGAACAACCATCATCTCCACGCCAGCTGTGCCTCCTCATGCTCTATCAAATATCAACACCAATCGGGCCACCTCAACCGAATCCATTAAATTGCATGCACCAAAGTCAAAAGCAAATCCATAAATCATATCTAAACCTTTCATTTTCATACCAAACACAAAGAAACATTTAGATGCAACAATGGGGATTTGGTGAAGAGATCAATGATAAGTTCAGGGTTTTCAAACAAGAGCGAGGAGGAGAGAGTTTGGAGGGTATTCGAACAAGAGGAGAGACAGAGAGTTTTCAGGGTATTCAAATAGAAAAAAAAATACAGAGAAGACTTCCCCTATTCTTCTCTAAAAAGGGACATTTTGTAATAGCTTTGTAACCAAGACTCTCTTCAGATTTTCGAAATATATATGCAACAAAAAAAAGGTTCGATGAAATCTTCTCCTTTCTTTTGTTTTCTTTTATGTGTGAATTCTTAAAGAACAAAAATGGTAGAGGTAAATAAAGAAAATAATACATTTACTTTAGGAGTGATCCTCTCCGGAGAAGGTGGTCGCGTCTAAGGCTACGTCGGTCGTCTATGGGGTTGGGTTTTAGTTTGATTTAGGGTCTCGATTAGATTCCAAGGAGTGAAAGTATGTTTTTGTGTGTTTGTTTTAGAGAGAGTGTTGGTTGTTCGAACAACCATGGGTGGTGGCCAAGAGGAAGACCGATGAAGAACGACGGTTGGCGTCATGGGCGGTGGTTTGAGTTTCTTTGGGCTCCATGGTTGAAGTTAGAAAATGAAAGAAAAGGGTTTAATTTTTTCTGGTTTTCTCGTTTCTGGAGTGTTTAAAGGGGGTGTATTCATTTTATTTTTTTCGGGTAAATCATGTGTTAGGTCCTTGATTTATGGGAATTTCTTGCTTTTTTACTTATTTTATGTGTTAATCATTTAATGGTCCCTATAATTTTAGCACCTTTTTCTCTCTGATCACTAATTTGTGGTATAATCACCCCTAAGTGCCCATAGTCTAGCTGTGTTTTCATATTATAGTCATTAGGTGCAGTTTTTTATTTATTTTGAACTCTATATTTTACTTAGGTTTAATTTATTCCTTAAATTGTCATGTTTTTATTTGAATTTAGTTATTACTTTTATTCATTTTTATCCACTGCTTGTGTTCTGTTAATTATTGTTTTAAGTTTTTTTAATTTTAGCATTTAATTGTTATAATTGTTGTTTTAGGCCTTAATGTTATTTCATGGTGTATTGGCATTACTAGTGTTTTATTATTTAAAATTTCCTATTGTTACCTTAATTATCATTGGTTTTACTGTTTAGCCATTCAAATTTGGCCCTAATATTTTTATATTTTATTTCATTAATCTAATGAAAGATGTAGTAAATATATTCGATAATGTGCATGTG